ATAACATACCAACCATAATCTCATGGGAAACTTGGACTTACGCCACCATCTAGTGGTTAAATAATGGCAGTAATCGTGGTGTGAGAAAAAATAAGCAACCTGCTTTGAATTTATGGGACAGGAAAAATTATACCAAACTATAATTGGAATAAATATCTAATCCTTCAATGGTTAGACTTTATCAAATGCCAATGATCATCATGAATTTTCAGGAAAGCATGGTCTCATCTAACAGAAAAAGCAAGCCACCAGAAAGCAACTGTTATGGACAACATATTGATATGGACAATTGATATGGACAAACCCTGAGAGAATTTTAAAATACCTTATTTAAAGTAGCTTGAAATGGAATTAAAACTCAATGAACTTCAAGAAACCACAGAGAAACAATTCAGCATGTTACCAGAAAAATCTAACAGACAGATCAAGCAATTAAAAAAAAAAATCAATAGAAATCCTTGAGCTGAAAAGTATACTAAACAAAATGAAAAAAAAAAATGACAAAAGGCACCAGTAGGAGAATGGGTCACACAGAAGAAAGAGACAGTAACTAGAACATATGCTGTTTTAACATACACTGTTGGGGGGAAATAAAGAAAAAATGAGGAGGAAGAAAGCAAGCTTGTGAGAATTTTGGTACAGTGTTAAAACAGAAAATGTTCAATGTTTGAGATTAAAGAGCACTGGACTAGGCCAAAAGTCACCATTCATATTTAACTCAATCAAGTTGAACCCAAGACATATTATAATCAGGCTATCAAAATTTATTAAGAAATGGAGGATTCTCAAAGCAAGACAGCAGAGTAAAATAACATCTAAGGGTTTTCCGATTCACTTGCCAGCTGATTTCTCAGCAGAATCCTTGCAGGCTAGTAAAATGAAGCATTGTATTGAAGAACAAAGCAAAACAAAAACAAAAACACAAAACTCCAACTAAGTATATTTGTTCCTAGCAAGGTTTTCCTTTAGAAATGAAGGATAAATAAAGATATACCCAGAGAAACAGAAACTGAGTTTACCACCAACCAATTTGTATTATAAAAAAATTCTAAACAGAATTCTCCGTTTTGAAAGAACAAGACCTAATGAATAAGAAGAAAAGATTGGATGACATAAAGCTCACTGATAAGAGTAACAGAGTATACTGACAAATTCAGAACTTTAATTTTGTGAAAAGATTTTATACATCATTTTTATTTTAGTTTGAAGATGAAAAATCAAAATAAAACTAATAACTACATTAATATGTTAAGGCATAGGAAATGTCCTGGGACTAGTGTTGTGGTGCAGTGGTTTAAAAATACTTAACCATTCCTTGCAATGCTGACTTCCCATATTAGAGTGTTGGCTCAAACCCAGCTGCTCAAATTCTGATTCAGCTTCCTAATAATATACCTGGGAAGGCAGAAGAGAATGGCTCAACTTTTTGTCCTCTACCACCACGTGGGAGATCTTGGTAGAGTTCCAGACTCCTGCCTTTGGGCTGGCCCAGACCTGTCTATTGTAACCATTTGGAGAGTGAACCATCAATCTGATCTCTCTCTCTCCCTTTTTCTCACCCCACCCCCACCCCACCAACGAGTCTCTTCCTTTCTGTTGCTAGTTTTGCCTTTCAGATAGATATTCAAAAAAAAATAAAAATAAAGAAGAAGGAGCATTCTTCAATTTAATAATGGCCAACAAATAACATCACACTGAATGGGAGAAAATAGGAAGACTTTCTTCCTAAGATCCAGAGCAATCAAGCATTTTAATGTCATCACTTTTGTTCAATTTAGTACTGAAAGTCCTGAGCAGACCAAAGAGGCAATCAAAGAAATGAAGGGCATCCAAATTGGAAACAGGGAAGTCAAATTGTCACTTCACATGACATGATGCTATATCTAGAAATAACCAGAGATTTTATAAAAAAAAAAAAAAAAACCTGTTAGAATGAACAGATAAGCAAATTGACAGGATACAAATAAAGCCACAAAAATCAGTAGCATTTCTTTGTTAATAGCATATTATCTGACAAGTATATGAAATGCAATCTCACTTATAATAGCTATGGGATAAAAAAAACTATTATTGAGGCAGCATGGTATTGTCATAAAATGAGGTGTATGGGCCATTGAAACACAATCGAGAGCCTAGAAACAAATTCATGCATCTGTAACCAACTGAACTTTACAAATATTCTGAGAACAAGCATCAGTGAAAAGATAATCTCAATAAATTGTATTGGGGAAATTAGATACCCATATGTAGAAGAATGAAACTAGATTCTCTATCTTCAAAATGCCAATGAAAATTGTTTAAAAAATCTAAATGAAAGACCTAAAACTACTACAAGAAAACAGGAAAAATTCTTTATGACATTGGAATGAGCAAGATTTTTTTAATCAGACCTGAAATTTGCAGGAAACGAACAAAAAATGCAACTTGGATTTCATCAGGCTTCTGCACAACACCAAATTAAATAATCAACAGATGGAAGAGACATATCCACAATGTAATAGCACTCAGCCACAAAAGGAATGAAATCCTGTCATCTACAAAAACCTGAATGGAACTGGAGGGTACTTGCTAAGTATAATGAGCCAGAAACAGGAAGCCCTCTACACATATCACTCATATGTAGCATCTAAAGAAATTGATCTCATAATATTTGAGAGGGGAGTGAGTAATGATTAGGAAAGGCGTGGATAGTATGGAGCATAAAGAGATGGGGAAAGGTTGTTCAATGAATATTATAATCGGATTAGAGAAAGAATTTGTGGTACTTGATTTCACAGCAAATACCAGAATGTACCATATATTCCCCCAAAAAACATATAAGAAAGGATGTTAACTGCCAAAAATGGTAAACTTTTTTAAACATTTATTTTATTTTATCATTTATTTTATTTTATTTTATTTGAAAGGCAGAATTACAAGGAGACACACACACACACACACACACACACACAGAGAATTTGTCGTCTGCTGGTTCACTCTCAGATGGCTGCAATGGCCAGAGCGGGGCCAGGTGGAAACCAGGAGCCTGGAATTCCATCCAAGTTTCCCATGTACATGGCAGGGACCCAAATATCTGGACCATCTTCTGTTGATTCCCCAGGTGCATTAGCAGGGAGCTAGTTCAGAATTGGAGCAGCCAGGACTTGAACTGGCACTCATCTGAGGCTGCAATTTAATGTACTACTCCACAACACTGCCTCCCCAGTTTAGTAAACTGTTGAGTTTTAAGAAATAAATATCATTACCCTGATTTGAACATTATGTAATGTATACATGTATCAAAACATCATTTCATATCCAAGTATATGTGGTAATTAAACAACACTGAAATAACTAAAATAAATTATATTTCCCTCCACAAATTGATTCTTATTTCCTCTCTGTCAACTTGATGCCATAAAGTCTAATAGATGGTAAACACATATAATAGAAGTAACCTGACTCTGAATCATCACATGAAAGAAAGCAACAAGGAACATGCACATATATCTGTTATACGACCAGGAAATGCTCTTATATTCTTGTCAGCCACTAATTTGGCAATTACTTATTATAATAGCAAGATTGGTCTAACTAATATAGACATTTATAACAGATGTTGTGTGCTATTGTAAGAGCACTTAATTTTGAGGCACTAGTTTAGCTGGTTGGTTGTGGTTAGAAAATGTAGAAAGCCATTAAGCCAGAATTCCCTGTCATGATGGCAAAATATTTAATGGAACTGTACCATGTGATAGGTTGGAAGGTAGTTCAAGTGGCAACCAAATCTGCAGCTCTCAATAAAGTTCTGGAAAGAGCCAAATATCAGGATATGTTGTTTGCTTCCCACTGTGCATTAAAATACTATGCAGACTACTTTTCAAGTACAAATATTAGAATGGTTCTTAAAATAATAGAGAGGTATTTTCAAGATTGCAAAAGCTTATAATTAGGTTCTGGAGTTCAGATAATGATAAATATGATTGAAAAGGCTTTGAGGGTGTAAGGAACATCTAAATTTAAGTAAAAACCTGTTTCTCAAATGCAAACCAAACAGTTCAGAGGGCCTATCCGCAAGTATCTCTGCTACCAAGCCTCACACTCTAGACTGCCATTCACATTCCTCAATCCCCATAAGGCCAGGTACCAAACAACAATGACAGCCTCCATCCTCCAGATCTGGTAACATTACTTACAAGAGATAATCCTGGGCACGTTTGCTCTGCCTCATCCAGTCCTTCCTGCTGAAAGCAGGTCCTTGCCCTCCTTTTCCGTTTGTCTGCGGATGACCTCTGATACTTCCCTGTGTGGTCTCCATGCTAGGATGTGCCTCTTTAACAGCTGTGAGAAGGCAACCATCTTCTTGATGATAATCATCTTGTAACTTGTAGGTCTTCAGTACACATCAAATTTTGTATGAATACACTGTGTTTTAGGGCACCAAGAAGAAGGAGCAGGATTCCATTTTATGGAGTGGTCAGGAAGATCTTCTCTGAAGGCGCGTATTCACAAAAAAACCAGAATTGACTGAATGAGTTACGTTGGTTCCTACAGAAAGAGTGTTCCCAGCAGTGGAAACCCCAAAGAAGAAGATTCTGAGGAAGGAACATGTATAAATCTAATGAAAATACAGGATGACAGTGTAACTGGTGCACAGCGGCTGTGAGGGATGGAGGATGAAACGGAATAGATATCCAGGGAGCAAACACATAATTGAGTGTGATGGCAAGTTTGCTTTGAGAGTGATGTTCACTTACAATCAGGGATGTATCTAAATTGACTTTTTAAAATTTTTATAGATCTGCTTTCCGAAAACAGACTCTGTAGGGGGAAGGAGTGGATTTGAGGAGACCAGTTTGAGGTCAGGAATTATTGTGATTTTATTTACAACAGTAACCTTTTGAAAGCGGAGTCAATAGGACTAATAGGATTTGCTGTGAAAGAAACATTTGGTTTCAGCCACTGAGGGAAGAGGTGATGTCATTTACAAATATAAGAAATGCGCATCTGGCAGGTTAAGAATATTTACCACATAGAGGAGTTATCATGATCATGAAGGTGATTTCCCCAGAATGAGGCTTTTCTATAGCATCCCAGATGTGCTGACTCCTGCCATTTCCCCAAATGTGGGAAACTCACCTGCATAATTTGTAATAGTCCGGGACTGCATTTGTACCCTCCTCTCATTAAAAAAAGCACTAAAAAAAGCATCAAGTATAAGACAAGGATTTTTATTTATTTATATTATTTCTTTGAATGGCAAAGAGACACAGAGAAAGAGATAGACAGAGAGTAAGAACTCTCATCTGCTGGCTCACTCCTCCAAATGCCTGTATTAATTGTGGCTGGACCAGGCTGAAGCCCTGAGCTGGGAACTCAGTCCAGGTCTCCATGTGGGCAGCAAGGACCCAACCACTTGAGTCATCATCTGCAGCCCCCAGGGTGCACTTTATCAGAAAGCTGGATTCTGGGGCTCAAACTCAGGTACTCCAACATGGGATGCAGGTATCCTAACTGATATCTTAACTTCTATGCAAAACAACTGCCACCACGTATGAGGCACTGAAATGAAAAATTTAATATGGCTCATATTAAATTTGAGGTGCTTGTGCAGCTTCTAAATGCACATGCTGAACAAATATTGAATAGGCATTTGTGTATATAACACTGGTACCTAAAGGAATGATATGGCCTGGGAATATAAATTTTGAAATGATCAGTAAAAAATAATATTTAAATCTACCGAGGAGATAAGATCAACTGATGACAGTATATCTTGATTTTAGACACAGAACAGCAAATAAATATTAGTGGAATAATGCATTTAGACTTGGTAATGTAATAGATAAAACATTAAAAACACGATAAGGCACAAAGAAATAAAATATCCTGTGTGATCAATTTCTTTGTAATTAGCAATAGAATTCACAAATAAGTTATTTGGATCCTCTATACGCTAATGGCAACTACTGAGTTATTTTTTTCCTTGTTATAGAATATATTTATTGAAGGAGAGAGCAAAAATATGGGATGGTGATTTTTTTCTTTCCTCTTTCTGGAAGACATGTGCTTAGCTCTTTTCCTATTAAGTAAAAGATAATTTAAGCAATTATTTTTAAATTTTAACTCACTACTTCTCCCTCTCTCTTTTAATTTAATCATTTTGGAAGAATACTGGATAACAGCATTCCTGTTATGGTAATGTATATAGTAATATTGATTGCAGCTGTGCTGTGTGGATTAGCATGGTTATGAGTCAATGATAAACTCTGGCTGCAAGTCCCTTTTTTTTTCTCTCTGTTTTTTTTTTTCTGACAGGCAGAGTGGACAGTGAGAGAGAGAGAGAGAGAAAGGTCTTCCTTTTGCCGTTGGTTCACCCTCCAACGGCCGCTGTGGCCCACGTGCTACGGCCGGCGCGCCGCGCTTACCCGAAGGAAGGAGCCAGGTGCTTCTCCTGGTCTCCCATGGGGTGCAGGGCCCAAGGACCTGGGCCATCCTCCACTGCACTCCCGAGCCACAACAGAGATCTGAACTGGAAGAGGAGAGACCAGGACAGAATCCGGTGCCCCGACCTGGACTAGAACCCGGTGTGCTGGCACTGCAGGCGGAGGATTAGCCTAGTGAGCTGCAGCGCCAGCCCCTCATTCCTTTTCTTGATCTGTTCCTCTATTTGTTGATAATTTTTCAACATTATAAAATGTGGAAGTTCAACACATAGGCAAATCTGAACTATATTATTTGAATTACATTTGTATACATATTTACATGTGATTTTATTGATCATGATTAATAACACAGGGTCATATTTTAGAATCTATTTTGAAAGATAGAAACTTTGAAGGCCCAGGAAGTAAAGAAAAGGTTATTACCAGACACTTATTGCATGAAGATGATACCTCAAAATTATGTAGAAAACTTGAATTTAAAAATGTTTATTTTGGTGCAAAGATTTTTTTAAATCCATGCATGTTTTCCATACCATGTATCATGCATGGCCTTTTTGAAGAGCCTTCTTACTTGACTATCTTCTCCCAGCGTTATTAACAGTTAGTAACTATGAGGGTGGGAGAGGTGATAAACTGAGGAAGTGAGAGAGCTTAGAAAAGGATGCATAAGTCCACACACACACATCACTGGGTAGATGCTTATCAAGAGGATAAGCATCTAGTATCTAGTTATTGTCACATGTTCTAATGTTACACACACAGACACACACACAGACACCATTATGTAGAGTTTATTGCCATAAAATGCCTGTTTAGAATTGCTTTTTCTCTACTTTTCTAAGCAGAGGGACCAGAGAGTCAATGTGTCATCCAGATACGGATGAAGCATCTGTAATTTCTTCTTAGGATCCTCTTATTGAACTATATGCCTGTTGAACAGATCTCTCCATTACCATCTATTTTCTGATTACTTATTTTTTTTATTTAATGAATATAATTTCCAAAGTACGGCTTATGGATTACATGGCTTCCCCCCCATAACGTCCCTCCCACCCGCAACCCTCCCCTTTCCCACTCCCTCTCCCCTTCCATTCACATCATGATTCATTTTCGATTCTCTTTATATACAGAAGATCAGTTTAGCATACATTCAGTAAAGATTTCAACAGTTTGCTCCCACACAGAAACATAAAGTGAAAAATAATAGATGATTTTTTAAATGATGATGAAATCAGATCAGACCTATTGTCATGTTTAATCCCAGTGAGAGTCAAGTTGGGGATTGATAATTTCTTTTTTTTTTTTTTGGCGGATCAGTTTAGTATACATTAAGTAAAGATTTCAACAGTTTGCACCCCCATAGAAACACAAAGTGAAATATACTATTTGAGTACTCGTTATAGCATTAATTCTCAATGTACAGCACATTAAGGACAGAGATCCTACATGAGGAGTAAGTGCACAGTGACTCCTGTTGTTGACTTTACAAATTGACACTCCTGTTTATGGCATCAGTAATCTCCCTATGCTCCAGTCATGAGTTTCCAAGGCTATGGAAGCCTTTTGAGTTCTCCAACTCTTATCTTGTTTAGACAAGGCCATGGTCAAGGTGGAAGTTCTCTCCTCCCTTCAGAGAAAGGTACCTCCTTCTTTGAAGACCTGTTCTTTCCACTGGGATCTCACTCACAGAGATCTTACATTTAGTTTTTTTTTTTTTTTTTTTTTTTTTTTTTTTTTTTTTTTTTTTTTTTTTTTCCAGAGTGTCTTGGCTTTCCATGCTGGAAATACTCTCATGGGCTTTTTCAGCCAGATCCAAATGCCTTTAGGGCTGATTCTGAGGCCAGAGTACTGTTTAGGACATCCGCCATTCATGAGTCTGCTGAGTATCTCACTTCCCATGTTGGATCACTCTCCCCTTTATTTATTCTATTGGTTAGTATTAGCAGGTACTAGACTTGTTTATGTGCTCCCTTTGATTCTTAGTCCTTTCATTATGATCAATTGTGAACTGAAATTGATCACTTGGACGAGTGAGATGGCATTGGTACATGCCACCTTGATGGGATTGAATTGGAGTCCCCTGGTATGTTTCTAACTCTACCATTTGGGGCAAGTCAGCTTGAGCATGTCCCATATTGTACATCTCTTCCCTCTCTTATTCCCACTCTTATGCTTAATAGGCATCAGATTTCAGTTAAATTTCAGCACTTAAGAATAACTGTGTGATAATTAAAGAATTAAACCAGTCATATTAAATAGAACAGACAAAAAAAACTACTAAGAGGGATAATGTATTAAGTTGTTCATTAACAGTCAGGGCTATGCTGATCAAGTCACCGTTTCTCATAGTGTCCATTTCACTTCAGGAGGTTTCCTTTTTGGTGTTCAGTCAGTTGTCACCGATCAGGGAGAACATATGGTATTTGTCCCTTTGGGACTGGCTTATTTCACTCAGCATGATGTGTTCCAGATTCCTCCATTTTGTTGCAAATGACTGGATTTCGTTGTTTCTTACTGCGGTATAGTATTCTAAAGAGCACATATCCCATAATTTCTTTATCCAGTCTACCGTTGATGGGAATTTAGGTTGGTTCCAGGTCTTAGCTATTGTGAATTGTGCTGCAATAAACATTAGTGTGCAGACCGCTTTTTTGTTTGCCAATTTAAATTCCTTTGGGTAAATTCCAAGGAGTGGGATGGCTGGGTCGAACGGTAGGGTTATATTCAGGTTTCTGAGGAATCTCCAGAATGACTTCCATAGTGGCTTAACCAGTTTGCATTCCCACCAACAGTGGTTTAGTGTCCCTTTTTCCCCACATCCTCGCCAGCATCTGTTATTGGTAGATTTCTGTATGTGAGCCATTCTAACCGGGGTGATGTGAAACCTCATTGTGGTTTTGATTTGCATTTCCCTGATTCCTAGTGATCTTGAACATTTTTTCATGTGCCTGTTGGCCATTTGGATTTCCTCTTTTGAAAAATTAAGGTCCTTGGCCCATCCCTTAAGTGGGTTTTTTTTTTTTTTTGAGTTTCTTGATCTCTTTGTAGATTCTGGTTATTAACCCTTTATCTGTTGCATAGTATGCAAATATTTTTTCCCATTCTGTCAGTTTTCTCTTCACGTTCCTGACTGTTTCTTTTGAAGTACAGAAACTTCTCAATTTGATGCAATCCCAATAGTTGATTTTGGCTTTGACTGCCTGTGCCTCCTGAGTCTTTTCCAGAAACTCTTTGCCTGTGCCAAAATCTTGAAGGGTTTCTCCAATGTTCTCTAATAACTTGATGGTGTCAGGTCGTAGATTTAGGTCTTTAATCCACGTTGAGTGGATTTTTGTGTAAGGTGTAAGGTAGGGGTCTTGCTTCATGCTTCTGCACGTGGAAATCCAGTTTTCCCAGCACCATTTATTGAATAGACTGTCCTTGCTCCAGGAATTGGTTTTAGATCCTTGATCAAATATAAGTTGGCTGTAGATGTTTGGGTTGTTTTCTGGTGTTTCAATTCTGTTCCATTGGTCTATCCATCTGTTTCTGTGCCAGTACCATGCTGTTTTCATTACAACTTCCCTGTGGTATGTCCTGAAATCTGGTTTTGAGATGCCTCAGGCTTTGTTTTTGTTGTACAGTATTGCTTTAGCTATTCGAGGTCTCCTGTGTCTCCATATGAATCTCAGCATCATTTTTTCTAGATCTGAGAAGAAGGTCTTCGGTATCCTGATTGTAATTGCATTGATCTATAAAT